AAATTTAATATATAGGCGTCAAACAAAACGGACGGACAGACAGACATGGCCATGTATTAGGTCGGCTTTTGATGCTGATAAAAAAAAAAACGCTTACCCATTTCTCATTTTGAGGATCGGGTATAAAAATCATAATTTTGCATTTAAAAACTTAGTATTTCCTAAATTCTAAAGTGACGCTAAAACGTTTTGAGGGTCAGTTAATAGGTGGGTTCATTACGTTTCCAGAGTTGCAAACTCCTTTAAAGCTAGATTGTTGTACTCAAGTTATACAGTGGATTAATATAACTTATAAATACCATATAGCTACGTATGCAGTCCGTCTATCCTCTTTCCACCCAATGAAAAATATATCTGCTCTAGCTCTTATTCAAGGGCTGTTCAATAAGTTTGTGACTTTTTTAATCAAACACAGGTTTTTGGATAAAAAATCGTTTTATTTTTCAACATAGTCTCTTCTTAACTCTACTTTGTGCTACGTTTCTCCAATTCGTATCCCTTTCAAAAAATAGGATTTCTCGTAGTCCTCACAATAGGCATTTTTTTGAATAGGGCGGACCTGAAATATCAAGCATTCAACTTAAAAATTGATAATTGTTTCGGTATATTTTTTCAATATGGTACATTAATTAGGCGTCGTTGAAGGTATCGTTTGTAAAACTCTATGGATAAACGAGATTAGAAAAACTTTTAAATAAAAACTAAACAAAAATAAAATGAACATTAAACATTTGTAAAGCCCCAAATATATAAAAAAAACGAAGGGGAACGTTGTGAGTTGCTGCGGACACCGCAACTCTACAGTTATACCCGATACTAAGTCAGTATGGCTCTCCTCCGGCAGACGGCGCTAATATTAAACGACACGACAAAGAGTGCGTGCGAGAGAGACAAAAAATAAGTCTGAGCGTGACGTCGGGCGCTGTGTAGCCACTGAAAATTGTTTTTTTTTCTATTCGGCTATAAAAATTATCCGATCTGATCCAAATTCAGTAACTGGATAGATATGGTCATTCTCTATGATTCTGCGTTTTTAGTTTTCTCGAATCTGCAATATTGTGGATGCAACAGATTCTCGTCCTTTGTGTGGGCGGAAGGGGGTAGGGCGAAATTCTGAGATATACGTTTTATAGTGAGATCTAACAGAAGTGCGGATACCAAAGATGGATACTCTAGCCTTAATTGTCTCTGAGATTTGTGGTTGCCCCAGATTTTCGTCCTTTGCGGGGGCGGAAGGGGGTGCGGCGAAATTGTGACACAAAACGGTCAAGGTCCGATATCACAGGAGTGTGGATACCAAATTTGGTTGCTCTAGCTCTTATGGGTTCTGGGAGCCTTGAACTCATATTTTGCAATTGGCAAAACCGACCATGAAACCTGTGTGTTAGAGTGAGACAGAGCGAGAAAGAATGAAATTGTTTTCGTGATTCTGGCTATAATAATTATACGATTGGTTCAGATTTTGCACTCTAGAAGATATAGTCATTTTCTACGATTCTGCGTTTTTAGTTTTCTCGTATCGTCGAAATTGTAATGCCACAGATTTTCGCCCTTTGTGGGGGCGGAAGTGGGCGGGGCAAAGTTTTGAAATATTCTTGTAGCAGTGACATATCACAGAAGTCTGGATCCAAAACATCGTTGCTCTAGCTCTTATAGTCTTTGAGCACTAGGCGCTGAAGGGGACGGACAGACGGACGGACGGACAGACAGACATGGCTCAATCGACTCGGCTATTGATGCTGATCAAGAATATATATACTTTATGGGGTCGGAAACGATTCCATCTGGACGTTACACACATCCACTTTCACTACAAATTTAATATATAGGCGTCAAACAAAACGGACGGACAGACAGACATGGCCATGTATTAGGTCGGCTTTTGATGCTGATAAAAAAAAAACGCTTACCCATTTCTCATTTTGAGGATCGGGTATAAAAATCATAATTTTGCATTTAAAAACTTAGTATTTCCTAAATTCTCAAGTGACGCTAAAACGTTTTGAGGGTCAGTTAATAGGTGGGTTCATTACGTTTCCAGAGTTGCAAACTCCTTTAAAGCTAGATTGTTGTACTCAAGTTATACAGTGGATTAATATAACTTATAAATACCATATAGCTACGTATGCAGTCCGTCTATCCTCTTTCCAGCCAATGAAAAATATATCTGCTCTAGCTCTTATTCAAGGGCTGTTCAATAAGTTTGTGACTTTTTTAATCAAACACAGGTTTTTGGATAAAAAATCGTTTTATTTTTCAACATAGTCTCTTCTTAACTCTACTTTGTGCTACGTTTCTCCAATTCGTATCCCTTTCAAAAAATAGGATTTCTCGTAGTCCTCACAATAGGCATTTTTTTGAATAGGGCGGACCTGAAATATCAAGCTTTCAACTTAAAAATTGATAATTGTTTCGGTATATTTTTTCAATATGGTACATTAATTAGGCGTCGTTGAAGGTATCGTTTGTAAAACTCTATGGATAAACGAGATTAGAAAAACTTTTAAATAAAAACTAAACAAAAATAAAATGAACATTAACCATTTGTAAAGCCCCAAATATATAAAAAAAACGAAGGGGAACGTTGTGAGTTGCTGCGGACACCGCAACTCTACAGTTATACCCGATACGAAGTCAGTATGGCTCTCCTCCGGCAGACGGCGCTAATATTAAACGACACGACAAAGAGTGCGTGCGAGAGAGACAAAAAATAAGTCTGAGCGTGACGTCGGGCGCTGTGTAGCCACTGAAAATTGTTTTTTTTCTATTCGGCTATAAAAATTATCTGATCTGATTTAAATTCAGCAAACTGATAGATATGGTCGTTATCTATGATTCTGCGTTTTTAGTTTCCTCGAATCTGCAATATTGTGGATGCAACAGATTTTCGTCCTTTGTGGGGCGGAAGGGGGTGGGGCGAAATTTTGACACAAAACGGTCAAGGTCCGATATCACAGGAGTGTGGATACCAAATTTGGTTGCTCTAGCTCTTATGGGTTTTGAGATCCTTGAACTCATATTTTGCAATTGGCAAAACCGACCATGAAACCTGTGTGTTAGAGAGAGACAGAGCGAGAAAGAATGAAATTGTTTTCTTGATTCTGGCTATAATAATTATACGATCTGGCTCAGATTTTGCACTCTAGAAGATATAGTCATCTTCTACGATTCTGCGTTTTTAGTTTTCTCGTATCGTCGAAATTGTGGATGCCACAGATTTTCGCCCTTTGTGGGGGCGGAAGTGGGCGGGGCAAAGTTTTGAAATATTCTTGTAGCAGTGACATATCACAAAAGTCTGGATCCAAAACATCGTTGCTCTAGCTCTTATAGTCTTTGAGCACTAGGCGCTGAAGGGACAGACGGACAGACGGACGGACGGACAGACGGACAGACAGACATGGCTCAATCGACTCGGCTATTGATGCTGATCAAGTATATATATACTTTATGGGGTCGGAAACAATTCCATCTGGACGTTACACACATCCATTTTCACCACAAATCTAATATACCCCAATACTCATTTTGAGTATCGGGTATAATTAGGTTTGGCTCACAGCGGAAAAAGAAAGCTCAATTTTGTTGCCTAGTGCTATCAAATGGTCAAATACAAACTATTTGACTTCTTCAACATGTGACAGAATACAACTGAAAGATTCCTGTTGAAAGCAGTGTTGTGGACAATCTATTAGAAAATATAAATTTATAAAAATAAATATCGTTGAAAAAATATCATAGAATTTTAGTTTTGATTTTTTTTAAAGTTATTTTTGTATTTCTTAATTAATTAAATAATTAATGGATAAAATTATGTTTTAAGACTTGAACAAATTATGAAATATTATTCAGAATCATATTATGGTTCCTACATTAGGATCCGAAAAGAAACAGAACACTGCACTGCAAGTCGATCGATTAAATGAAAGCAACTTAAAACTATTTTTTTTTTTAATCTGAAAGTTGTTTGAATTGTTTTGTTTCTATAAAATAATCCTCCATCTCCTGTTAAGTGGGGGGAATAACTAATAAGCTTATTATTTCTGAAGAATAACTGCTTGCCGATTTATTTTGTGATCTCACATATCTAATGGATGAAATATATGGATCTGAAGAGGCTGCCAACATGTTGAAAAGGTCTTGGTTTTGCTTAATTCGTGATGTCTTGCACGTATTCTTATTTCTGTATTTTTTGTAATCTTTTTTTCTCGTTTCCTGGGCTGCCTCTGACATCTCTCCAATTGGTAGACTCTGATGTTAAATTAAAATTTGACCATGTGCCAGAATTTTATGAAGCGTGGTAGTTAGCTTCTTTTCAGGATATTTTTCCAGTAGTAGCTCTGTAGTCTTCGCATATTCACCAAAATTGAGGGTACTTATTTTTTCTTTGCAGTTTAAAATATTTAAAATGACACCCAAGTTTTTGATAATGTAAATATTCACCCCAGTTATCTCTGCAGTAATTTCGTTTTTCTCAAAAAATGAGTTTGTGTTTCCAAATCCTTGTTTGGGGCAGTCCACCTTCAGTGATAGTTTGTCTAAGAATTTTTCTGGAATTATTTTTTCCTAGGCTTTTGTATTTCCTTGGCTGGCGTGCTGTTGTCAAAAGATTCTCCCTCTCGCGGAAGTGAACATGCAAGTTTTAAATAATAAATAGTCTAATTCTTGCATGCAAAACCTGATCAAAAAAACAGGTCAAGGTAGAAATACTAGCCTGCATATTCATTCATAATCAACAACATAATTGAGGTGGCGCGAAATGGAAAATTATTCGAATATTGAGTGTACCTGAGCATATGGATTCATTAGTACCTAACCTTTGAGCAGTTTTTCAACTTTGACTGCACTTTACAACGATTTTTTTTGTACTATTTTACTTATTGAACTGTTCTCTGAACTTACTCTGAAATTACTTATTTTTAATCGAGTCAGGACATATATTTACAACTATTAATAAATTAAATTACTTTCTAACGCTATTAATCGTATCATATGTATTGCAGCTCAAAATGTCACTCATCAAATGCACGTAGCCCACAAACAAATGAAATTGATTTCAAATGTATATTTTGGATAGATTACATGTAAAAAAAATCAACGAGGAATAATTTAACGCAAAATTAACAAACTGGGGCTCCTTCGTTCAAGTTGAGCTTTACAATAACTTTAATCAAAAGACACAAAGATATAAGTTGGATTATTATGTGGTACCGATACCAACTTATCACATCAAACATTTAACTCTACAATAAGAAATTAAAAGTTTAATCGTCAAGCACAAAACAATTTACCCCTATTTAAAAATGAATGTTTTTAAAAGGAAGCATTGCCCATTGTGGATTGTATATTTAATTTGTGTTTTTCTGATGGCGTCACGGACTAATGCCGCGGCTGGATCGCAAGGTGTGCCAACATGGATGTAAGTACTTTTGCTTGTATATATTTTATTAGTTATTTAAATACTCTCCAACCCTATCGTTGAAATTTGTAAAATGCTGCGCTTTTAAAGGTATCAATTAGTAGAGTTTTTGACACAAAAATCGTTAAATAGATCAAACATAATATACGTACATACTATTTCCCAAATGTATTTTTACGTCAAGTCATATTTATAATTGTTATTTTAAGTTAAACCTTTATGCAGTTTATAGTAGAATTTGTATTAAAGAAATTAAAATGAATGTAAATTAAAACCATATCTGGGATGTTTTTAAAATTTGAAAACATTTTTAATAAACTTACATATAATATAATACATTGTTGATTAACTTAGTTGATAAGCTCTTCAATGTGACAAAGAGAAAGTGATGCTCAACGAAATGCCTCTCATATTTAAATGGAGACTCACATGGAATGCTGTTACTCAAAACAAGCTGCCACACAACGATTTAGTTTCTAATCTGAACTTTACTTAAACGGTACCGGCAGCCCCGTAGCGTATAATAAATTGAAAGAGCTCGTGTTATACATGTTCTAATTTAAAAGCGCTTCAATACCGCTCATATAGTAGACACTACTTAAACTGATAAGAGTTTATATACATGCACATGCCCCGATAACACAAAAAAAATAATAACAACTAGAAGCATCTTACTACAAATCAACACTACGTTCAATCAGCTCTATAAATAGTGCTTGTTCACTTATCAAGGAGTTTTTGTTCATAGATTATAGACGCTAAAATGGCAACAAACTACAAGAGTCTAATACGTTTGCTAGTAGTCACAAGCTGTGTGGCAACAGCCTATGCAGTATCCAGTACATGGGGAAATATTTCAAACTCCGCTCAACTTTTACATGCTGAAAACGTGGCAAACGCATCATCCCCGGGACGATATGTTAACCATGAGATTAAATATCCGAAAAACGTAAGCATCATCGTGACATATACATATATATGTATACATAAATACATATGAATGTATATATGTATGTATATATATGTACTAATATATATTCTGTCCGATTTCCTGTTTTTGTGTGTGTTGTCAACTTCCAGCACTGGCGGAAACATACTGGAAAATAGCTTACACATATTAGTGTCTTAAAAAGTATATAATTCCAACCTTTTTTTGAGCAAAAACTTGCAAAAATATTTTAATAATTCAGATAAAAAATAACATGAGTATATTTCGAAGCAGCAAAACGTTTTCTTGATTACGAGTCTTAGGTTTTGATCTAAAATATTCACATGCTCGCCAGTGCATCGGAAACTTAAATCTTTCATTTATATCTTTATCCAGTGTTTCCGAGGTAGACATTTTTTCCTTGAAGCCCCCACATTGAAATCTACATATATGAAATCTTCTATATGAGAAAGCTAGTTAACATACAAATTCAAGCACGAACTATAATAGGCCTTGTGTAAAAATGTATACAACTTGTTCGCGCTTCTTTCCCACAATATATATATCTCGGTTTCCACACACTACAGGGCATTGGTAACGGGAGAATCATTACGGGAATACGGGCGTTCGACCAGGTGACGAATAACACGGGTGGCCATGCTACAATTTACTCTGGAGGTCCCGGCTTCAACTTTGTACACATCAAGCTTCAATCTCAGTACAACTATGGCCTTATATTTCGAGTTGAAATTTACGGAAAATAAAACTAGTATCCAAATTGATTATAGCCCATAAGTAAATAAATAACAAAATGCGTAAAATAAAATAGTAAGGAATCTTGAAAAAAAAAGTCTTTTGCTTCTTTTATTATGACCCATTAAAATAAGGATTCTCTTTGCGCAAGAATCACAGTACAATACAACTACACTGAGTCATTTTACAGATAGTCATTTCATAATTTTCCTTTTTTTATTGACTTTAATGTAATATGTACATACTATATAAGAACATTTCTGCCAATTGTCATATAATTTAATTATATATAATATTTTTTTTCTTGATTATTTTTATAATTATGTTTATAATATAAGAGAGATAAAATCTCTTATACTTTTACATTTAATAGACAGCAAAAAAATCACTCAATAAATAAATATTAAATATTCCCAGTTTGGCGTTTTGGCAACTTAAGCTAAAAGATCACTTCTATTTTTGGTAGCGTAGAGTTAGGTCATATTTAGGGTTTTATCTTAGAATCCGTACTTTTGATTGTTGTTTTGCTGAATACTTAATTAATTACTTACATAATTACTATGCAAATAGGAATACATCTTTTTAAAATTTTAATTTTTTATTATTAATTTGTTACATTTTGTCGTATGAACGTAACGTTACTCCTGAAGGGAAATCCTAAAATATGAAAGTGAATTCTTTAGCGTTTGTGAAAATGTTCTTCAGAAACAACCTTTTTTGTGAGGTATTTCTCAATTCGAAGTCTTGAAGATATATAATATATAATGATATAGTGAATATAATGATCAGATTTTTTAATATTTTTCGCTGAATGGTTTGGTCATTGGTAAGTAACAATATAACAATAACAATCTACGTAAAATCGTTGCAAAATTGCGCAACATAGTTCTTCTAAGTACAACCAATCGAGTATACGAGTATATGTACATAATAATACTTCTGTACATATGTACATGCATGTAGGTAGAAATTATAATGTTAAAGTTGTTACAGTTTGCAAAATTGCGCAACATAGTTCTTCTAAGTACAACCAATCGAGTATACGAGTATATGTACATAATAATACTTCTGTACATATGTACATGCATGTAGGTAGAAATTATAATGTTAAAGTTGTTACAGTTTATTGCTGGCAAAGTATTCCACCTAACATTTATAAGTCCTTCTTAAATGTATTCTTAATAATATCAGCATATTTTTTATGTTTTTTATTTTTTATTAGAACAATAAACTATGTGTACACTTAAATACACTTAAAATGTGTAAGAACATCGCGGAAAAATAACTATTCGTGAGATATTTTACCATGGAGTTTATCATTCGATCATGCTCCATATATTTCCACTTGAGATTTAATTCCGGATCCTCTTGAAGAAGTAAATTTGATTGTCACTGTCGTGTCACCTACACCGCCAGAAGTGATCTCAGCAGTTGCACCGCGCATGCGTTTTAGATCCGTTATGTGTATATAACTTATAGTTTTGGCGGTGCCCGCCTGGGTCAGCGTATATGTTTTTGTTGTGGTTTGCAGCAGCATCTTTGTTTTAGTTATGACCTCGCGTGCAATTAGGGTATCAGTTGTTAATTTAGTACCCCACGTATAATCGTTACCTTCGCTACTACTGCCGCCTAGACCGTTGATCAAACAGACATAGGAGCCTAGTAGCAACAAGAACACACTGCTGAAGTACATTTTAACAGAAGTGAGTTCCGGTGGTGTTTTGAAGATGGAAGAATGAATACTGATGCGAATGACAAGACAGCCTTTCGTTTTTATAGGGCCGGCGTGATTAAAAAATTGTTATTCGATGATGACCTACTTCGATAATAAAATTGTGTCTCCAACACCTGCAGCATATCTCAAAAGTCCATAAATTCTAGCTTTCCACACTTTGTGGAAACTCTTGTAACGGCTCTTTGCTGTTATCGGTTTAACATAAAAAAACAAAACATTTTATTGCTGCGTATCTCATTTATTATGGAGAAAGTAAAGTGGAATACTATACATCATAATAGTTGGTGTGGTGTTAAATTTTAAATTTGTTACACTTTATCGGCCCCATATTTCAACAACATCGTTAATGCCATAGCCACGCACTGAATTAAATAAAATTGTAGCACCCTTCGAACCAGGGCCACCGCTTATAAGCTCGGCAGTGGCTCCATTATTTTTCTTTTTGTCAGTGATTTGAATGGCAGTAATAGTTAACGCGTCTAGGTTGTCCTGCAATTAAACAAAAACACTTGATTGTTTAGAGATATTGCTTAACTTAATAGGTATTTAACCTACCGACTGTTTAAAAACATATTTCTTAGTTTGTACCAGACCAACAAAAAATGCTTTCTTGACTGTATCTTTGGCTAGCTTGTAGTCATTGGCCCCAATTTCGCCCCAGAGGTAGTTGTTAGTGGCACACACCGGTTCGTGGAAAGCGACGAATAAGATGAATGCTACTGTCACTACAAAAGCTACGGAACTTTGCCTCATTTTGAGAATTTCGCTGAATCTGCAAAACTTTTCAAACTGCAACGCAACAAATCTTACACGAACCTTTTATTTATAGCGCTATACTCTATACTCTGAACTAGTTTGATAGTACAATCATATACTCGACTTGCGAATGCGATCTCCGATATTCAGACTGGAGTATATCCACTAATCTGATTTCTTTATAATTTTGGGAATGCAACAGAAAAACTGTCTATAGGAATTACAGTTATTTTTCTGACAAAAAAAAAAAATTTAACAGGGATCTCTTAAATTTCTTAATTCCCTTTTCAAATTCAATTAGGGATCTTAAATATCAAAACGGTCCTAAAGCCCTCTGGCTTTGGCTCCAAATTTGGTTAGATCTTGCTGTTAAAAGTGTATATATATGTACATATGTCAAAAACGATTCATTCTGCCCTTTTCACACACACGTAACATAAGCCACAATACGAGTTACGGGGTATAAATATAATGCTACATTTTACCTAAATTGTATTATTCAGGGTTCAAATTAATTAAGAAACTTTATCTTATCGAAAATAGAGACAAAAATATTAATTGCTACAGCAAAACATGGCAAGCTTTAATAGAAAAATGAAAAGTAAAAAAAAAAAAACAAAGCTCGCTGCTTAGAATTTTGTATACCCTTGAAGTCTGATGACCATTTAACGTTATTTTATCTACTAAAATAAATTCAAGTTATTCTTAATGTTCATTAAAATAGTAGTGGCGCAACTTTCAAAACCCTTTTTGATACATTTCTAGACTACCAAATTAAAGAAGTCATACTTCTTTAAAAAGCCTGAAATTAAGTATTCCACCTCTTTGTCTTTAACGACCGTAATACCCGTAAAAGCTGCTGTTCATTGAAATAACAGCGCTGGGTGTAGTTATTTAAAAAATCAAAATTGTAAAATATCACCATCAATATATGTAATTATTAAATATTTTGATGAAAACAATTTTTGGACACGGCACCATCTACTTTTCCTTTTGGAGCGAAAAATTAATCATTGCTTTGTCCAGAAGAAGAGACCTAAGAGTTAGACGAAAAAATAAAGGCAAAAGTAAGAAGTCGAAATCTTGTGAGGGTATATCATATGAATATATCAAACTGTAAATCCATCTACCAAAGCCGAGTTTTGGAAAGTGGTTTAAAAAGTATTGACTCAAATACTAATCAAGAGTCGGCAGGACCTTATGCTAGGCCGTTGCAGTGAAAAAAATGTATTGAAAAGTAAGAAAGCGTATAAAATGTAAGTATCTTAGATTATCTTAGAAGATTGGGTTCATGAGTCACACACATAATTAAAATTAATAATTATACTAATAATTATATGAAATGCATCTCGTAAAATAATAATAAAAAAAAAGTGTTCTGGATTTACGAAAAATTCATTTCTGTGTATGAAAACGATGATCCTTAGATCATCCCTCTGTGAACCGGATTCTCTTAGCAAGATGAGTTGCTATGATGTCAACCATGTTACTGCGTATGTTCACTGTCATGACGAAAGTGGCCAGTTACTTTAAGCATAGTTTTTCATTAATTGACCATTTCGCCTCTATCAGGGCCTATACGGTTCCGTTTTTACGTTTTTATGTTTCTAAAAACAGGACAATATTTTTTTCATACTTTTTCCGAAATTCTTGAATTTAATGGTACGCAATTTATTTTGAGCTCGATAGCTTAAAGGTAAATGAGAGAGTTTTCCGAAACAGTATATTTAAATAAATAGATATACCTATATACTTACATATACTTTAAACCAACTAGTAAACGTTGGAAAAAGTAATATCCTTAAATTTTCACAAAAAGGGAATTCCTCTAAATGTTTGCTATCTGCAATTGCTCTGTCCAGTAAATTTTCTTCCATTTCTCTTTATGCTCTTTCTTGTTTTTGCATGGTTTCTTGCTGTTTTTGAGCTATGTGGGTTTTTATCTATTTGTGTACAAAAATGTACAATTTTTGATTTTTGAACAGTGTTATTTCCAAACCGTGTAAAAAAAGACCGTGTAAAAACAGGTTTAGGTGTACCGGCAAACTAACTTTCAACAAGGGGTTAAAGATTCCGTTGGAGATTCGAGTAATTGGGTTGACTTATCGGAGTGCTGCGCGCTTTGCATTGATGACCGAATCGGACAATCTTATTTATATATATGTATATATATGTATATATATGTATATATATGTATATATATGTATATATATGTATATATATGTATATATATGTATATATATGTATATATATGTATATATATATAATTGTATATTTTTTCAATTTCAATTAGGGATCTTAAATATCAAAACGGTCCTAAAGCCCTCTGGCTTTGGCTCCAAATTTGGTTAGATCTTGCTGTTAAAAGTGTATATATATGTACATATGTCAAAAACGATTCATTCTGCCCTTTTCACACACACGTAACATAAGCCACAATACGAGTTACGGGGTATAAATATAATGCTACATTTTACCTAAATTGTATTATTCAGGGTTCAAATTAATTAAGAAACTTTATCTTATCGAAAATAGAGACAAAAATATTAATTGCTACAGCAAAACATGGCAAGCTTTAATAGAAAAATGAAAAGTAAAAAAAAAAAACAAAGCTCGCTGCTTAGAATTTTGTATACCCTTGAAGTCTGATGACCATTTAACGTTATTTTATCTACTAAAATAAATTCAAGTTATTCTTAATGTTCATTAAAATAGTAGTGGCGCAACTTTCAAAACCCTTTTTGATACATTTCTAGACTACCAAATTAAAGAAGTCATACTTCTTTAAAAAGCCTGAAATTAAGTATTCCACCTCTTTGTCTTTAACGACCGTAATACCCGTAAAAGCTGCTGTTCATTGAAATAACAGCGCTGGGTGTAGTTATTTAAAAAATCAAAATTGTAAAATATCACCATCAATATATGTAATTATTAAATATTTTGATGAAAACAATTTTTGGACACGGCACCATCTACTTTTCCTTTTGGAGCGAAAAATTATTTTTTTTAACATATTAGATCTCAATGAATGTTGTTTCTATCCAATAAATGACGCGTTGTTTTTCTTTGTAGGTGTCTTGGACTAAGATCGCCATTTATTGAATTTGGAAGTCAAGAGGAACAGCTGGCGAATACAAGTATTCCTCTTAATATCACTAAAGATGAACAAGCATATATGCATCAAGAGGGTCTGCGTAAACTTGGAACTTTTATAAAACCTGTAGATTTGCGAGACTCTCAGACTGGTTTTGTAAAAGCAGATCTCACTAAAAGACTGACAAATGATCCGCCAAGATCTCGCCGGATTCATCCGATACAGGAAGAAATGGATCAAAAACAAATTGTACTTCTTGATGATGATACTGATGAAAATGGTCTGCCCGCTAGCTTAACTGATGAGGATCGCAAGTTTATAGTGCCAATGGCACTAAAGAATGCATCACCTGATCCTGGGTGGCTTGATTCTGCCTCTTCCCATCCACCAGTTGTAAAATCGACATTCGTAGCCGCTTCCAATACACAACGTCGAGCCACGCAAATAGCACATAGCAGTACATCGACGAAACTAGAAGTGGACCCTACTTCCAATATAGACGATTTGAAGAAGCACATACTGTTCTTGCACAATATGACTAAAACCAATACAAACTTTGAGTCAAAGTTTGTTAAATTCCCAAGCTTGCAAAAAGACAAAGCTAAGCAGTCTGCTGGTTCACCAACGAACGTGAAACGTCCGCCTAGACCGGTTTTCCAATATGCAGCGCCGATAGCGCCGCCCACACGCAAAGTTCCGCACGGCGCACATACTCCAGGTCAACAGCCGTTTGGCGGTTACTACCATAACGATGAAGATATAAATACGTTGTCGTCTTTTCTTAAACCAGTTGCGGATACCAATGATTCTGCTCAAAGCGATGGGAACAGAAAGTTGGATAATATTCCCATAGTGCCTCAAGTACACTTGTTGAATGAGGATGAGTCAACGACCCGGTCAACCACTGAAGAGACAGTGCCCACCATAGTAAGTCCAGGAAATTTGGAACCGGCACGCACAACGAAGCGCCCGGCTTGTCTTCGTAATCCAGAATCACCAAAATGTATACGTCAGCGGCGACGAGAAGAGCAACAGCGCCAACGGGAACGAGATGAGTGGTTTCGAGGTCAATCAGAATACATACAACCTCGGTTTCAGCCTATCATACAAACGATCAATAATACTAGGCGTTTCGCTGTCTCTATTGAGATACCAGATTCCTTTAAAGCACATTCCGCCTTGACTTCACCATCCGATGAAGCAGAGGATGAAAGGCTGTATCGTATGAAGCGCTCGCAACCAAGCGGTCAGAAAGCCATGAAAGAAATCACTGAAGGCTCAGCTGAAAAGAAATTTGATAAACTGGCTCGTGATACTGATTATTTCGACCGAGATATTGTGATGACATCGGCAGATATCGCAAGTGGAAGCGATTTCCTGATCGCCAAGATGAACGGCTTGGTATCACCTAAAGAACAGTACAATGATACAACTTCAAGACTAAATGCCTACTCAGAAAAAATAGACCTAAATCCTAATAGCTGTTATAAAATCAATGGCTTAAGCTACGGCCAGAAAAAACAATGTGTAAAGCATACTAGTGTTATGCCAGCGATTAGTCGTGGTGCCCGTGCAGCTATTCAAGTAAGTATGTAACAAAAGTGGTAACATACTAATGTATGTAACTATTATTGCTGCATATTAAAGTATGTAGTACATGTGCATATATTGAACATAATATGGGCTAAGATAAAAAATCTAAATATACACCCAGAGACAAAAAAAACCATATATATAAACTTTGAAAAAAGGGAGTCAAAATTTAATTTAAATAAAAAAACGACTATACAACCATCACTCAATTTTAACAGTAATTTTCGAGCGAACAAGAAAAAAGTCAAATTGAATTCAAAGTTTTTTGTTTTTTAATAGTAATTAATTAATCTTTTTCGGTATCAATCTTGACCATGGGAAAAAACTTTATTTATATTCAGGATTGGCTTGAAAATTATGTTGAGATAGTATCAGAGGTGCCGCAATGTTTTGCAAATTATATTTCGGCTCGAACTATTTAACGTCGCTCAGTGGAGGTAGTTTAAGTGGCAAGGTAAAACATATCAAAATTTAAAAACATGTTGGGGTGATTCCTAATTGTTACGCCCTATATCCTCGGATAAGTATGTATTTTTTAAATTATCTGCTGGTTCATATTTTTGTCCGCATATCTCTACATATTTATAATAGAAGTCAAGGAAAAAATTCAATGGAGATTTCATGCTCATTTCAATTCTCCATTTGCCAGACTATCAACTAATTATCATTTTAGTTCAATCGTAAACCAAACCAGCAGATACAAAAATTACTTCGGACTTGTTCTGCGACAAATTTTTCATATCACTATAAGATTTTAATACAAACTTTGCGAGTTCCGTAAAAACATACGGGTGTATAAACACACACACACACGCACGATATTTCTGAAATATAACAAAAAATCTGATCTCAAATATATTTATTACCGATATTTGTATTTAAATTTTAAGAAGTTTTCATCTCCTATTTTAAACCGTTTCTTTGTTTTTATTTATCAGGAGTGCCAATTTCAATTTAAAAGTCGTCGCTGGAACTGCAGTACAACTAACGATGAAACCGTTTTTGGTCCCATGACAAGTTTAGGTGAGTATTTTAAATAAAATTTAATTCTATACTATATTCTTAGCTATGTTCCAGAACTAGTAGTCAATCAACACAAAATAATTGCGATCAACATTAATAAAACCTTCGAATAAACATTGAATGAATTTTGATTGAAGAATGCTCCATTCAAGAATGCATCCAACAATCGTTTGAATAAGAAATGGTTGCATCGGGTTTTTAACTAGTCCAAAGCAAATTTCGGTTCGAATTTAGTTCTTGTTTCTGAAAAATGCAGTCTTTTACCCGCAAAGAGCGCCATTAAAAAGTCGATTTAACTCTTGGAAGAATATTTTATTTAGAATATTTATAGTAGTTAGTTATGGTTAGTAAAGGATAGTATAGTATAGCATATATAGCCGTCCGGTCCATCCATCCTTCAACCTCTTCAAATGTTTTGCACTCCGATTAATGCGTTTAACAGTTGCCAAACTTGCATTTACACCGCATTCTTCACTAATGTTGGCTGCTGAACGCTTGGAATTTGAAGCAGGTCTAATGATAAGTTGTCTGTCTTCTGGTGTTGTCGCGTGCTGTGACGAATAAAATTGCCAATTACATTTTGGCTTCGTCCGATTTTTTTTTTTTTTTTTTTTTTTTTTTTTTTTTAGCGATTTCAACCTGATTTAGGCCTGAATTTATATAACCTGTTATTTGACATTTTTCAAAGGGATTTAAATGCTTTCCGCCACCCATTTTTGAAAAAAATCGACGTAAATTTCTTTGACTGCAACTTTCAAACAAGAAATGACGTCGTTTAATAAGCGATAAGGACGTCAAAATGCAATAGTGCACTTGAACCTATTCAGATGAGCTTGAATAAAGTTTGCAGTTTGTTGGGCAAATTGCGTCAAATTCATACAAATAGTGCGTCTTTTGATTTCGACGCCATAGCTTTTACCGAAACCTGGCTTAACTCTTCTGTCAATGATCATGAAATTTTCATTGATAGTTACACTATTTATAGAATGGATCGCCCATCTTTTGCAGGTGGGGTTCTGATTGCAGTCAAATCTGTTTTCTCATCTGAGTTTTTTCCATTCAATAAAATCCATGGAATGGAATTTGTTGCAGTCAAAGTTCGTGTTGGCTCGGCATTTTTCTATTTAACCTGCTTTTACATTCCTCCCAGGTCTGATGCTGAGCTTTACTTACACCACCTCTCAGCAACTAATACGGTCGTATCTGCACTAGGTTACAATGATCAAATTATTGTCATGGGGGACTTTAACCTCCCATTTCTTTCTTGGCTGCCTTGCGATGACGCTAATCTGTTGTTTCCCAATTGCGACGATGACTTTATCAATGGGCTAACGGATAATGGACAGATATCTTGACCCAATGTTTCCTGAAGATCCTTATTATCCAACTCTGTCTATATCCCTTGATCCCTTGTCTATATATCCCGATCTGGTGGTGCTGACAGTTCCATGGCTTCTTGCCACATAAAGTGTTTTCGCAAAACAAATTTTATCAATTTAGATCTACATCTCTCGCTTGTTGATTGGTCGTTTCTTTATTCATTACCGAGCATAGACGCAACTTAACTCGTTTTATAGCTCTATTTACTCCGCCCTTAATACATTTGTTCCAGAAAAAACTGTACCTGTATCGTCCAAGCCTTCCTGGTTCTCCAAGTATTTGTCATACCTAAAAAACAATAAATCCCGGCTCTATAAAAAGTACCAGAAGTCGGGCTCCACGTCGGCCTTAGCTCTATACTCCTCCGCTCGCTCTGTGTTCCTTGCCGTAAATAGTCAGTGTTATAATCATTACCTTTCACAATGTAGTAGAAACTTTCGTAGTGATCTTGAAAAATTCTATTCGTTCTTTAACTCTAAGCGTAAGTCAAACGCTTTTCGTCCGTCCCTTCATTACCAGAACATAACAGAATCTTCTGCTGTTGGTATTGGAAAAATATTGGAAACTATCGTGATATCGCAAAGCTTTCCGCCATCCCGAAGCTTCTTGAGTTCTTGGTCACCCGGCAACTGCAACATCTTTGTTGCAGCTTGATATCTCCGTCGCAACACGGTTTTTTCAGACATCGTTCAACATCGACTAACCTTCTTGAGTTTTCTAACATAATCCACCGTGGTTTTCAAAGTGGGTTGCAGACGGATGCAGTTGCTACGGACTTCAGCAAGGCATTCGATTCTGTGAACCATGCTCTGCTTATTCACAAGATCTCATTATTAGGGTTCCCAACGAATCTTCTAGATTGGATTTTTTTCTAACTCTAACAACCGTACTCAACGTATTTTGTTTTCTAATGTGTCGTGAAATATGGTTAATGTTACTTCAGGAGTGCCACAGGGAAGTCATCTGGGACCGCTTCTGTTTATTTTTTTTGTGAACCTTTATAAATGCAATCTTATGACACATTACCGTCGCGCTCCACATTTTGTCTCATATGTTCTAGGAAATCATGTCCTGGAGCGAATTTTGAATTCTAATGACCTCGGAGTCCTACTTGATCATAAGATGTGTTTTAACAGCCATATAGCTGCAACAGTAAATAAACCTGAGTTCGTGCACAAGTTCCTTCTCGGGATTGTTGACCCCAAAACTCTCTTGGGTCAGATTGACTTCGCCATTCCACTCCGCTTACCCATAGGTAGGTCTAGTTACGCCCAACAATAACCTTTTAGGGTGATATTCCATAACTATAACTGCCTCTGTCATACCTTATCCTCTGATCCTCTGAAGCTAATAGAGTGTAATATTTATCATCCCCTAAATTTAACAAACTTTTAACTTCTCTTCTTTCCTCCTTTTGTAACTACATAAGTACCATTATTAGCAGATAATTGTTAATTAAATAAATAAATAAAACTGTAGAGTTGCAGTCGCAGCAGCAACTCACAACGTTCCCCCTCGTTTTATTTTAATTTCAATCTCTTCAAATGCTTGACTCTCCTAATAAGGCGTTTTAAAATTTCCAAACTCAGAATTTCACCGATTTATCTAAGGATAAGTCGCTTGTCTGCTGGTGTTGTTGGGTGCTGTGACTTTCCTTTGCTTCATTACAAATCAAATCACCAACTTCCCTTTTAATATCGTCTGATTATTGTGCATTTTTACGCTGATTACGTATAGAACCCATGTAATCCCAATAATTGCCCTTTTTCAATTGCTTCTCGGGACCCATTTCACAAAAAACCGCGGTAAATACCTTGAATTCAAATGAGAAAAAACATTGACATCGGTAACTCATCATGATTAGACCACAACCTATAATCAGCTGTTGCTAAATTGAATACTTAATTTTACAAACGCGGGACGTTAAATAAATTCTCTCATTAGTGGATCGTTTTAGCTCTTAACACAACTCTATACTTACCCAATCAATCTAATAAATTCCTATATGTAATTGCAATTAAAATAATATTAAGAATATTAAATGTGATAAATACTATCTGTTGAGCTACAGAGCTTTTCCAGCACCGTATGTTCGCGATCTATATATTAAAATTCGACGATTTTTCGGCTTAATATTGTGGTTTTTTGTGGGTATGTAATGGTATATAATTAGCACGCTTCAAGACGGGGTCAAATTGAAGACGTAGGGATCGGTTCAAGACGGTGTCGGATTGAAGAACTATTCGCAATAGACGTGAAAAAAGACGTCCAAACGTCCCCTAATGCAAGCGAGAGCGCTAAGAGATCGATATAGAAGGCGAAAGAAAGACGTGGCTATAATCTATGGATCATTGTTAGTAACATACTACGTAACCCAACACTATCCTATTTTGAAAGTTGGACAAAACTGCAGACAATATCTAGAATTTTGTTAATATCGGTTCAGAAGTTTGGGAATTTATTAGGAGTAAAGTTACATCACATGTAATATGTATAAGATAATATACGCTTCAAAAATGCACTAGCACTAATATACCACTAACTGAAATCTTTGTATCTAATGCAGCGGCACCAGAAATGGCATTTATTCATGCTCTTGCAGCAGCAACGGTGACCAGCTTCATTGCCCGTGCGTGTCGAGATGGCCAATTAGCGTCGTGTGGCTGCTCGCGTGGGAATCGGCCTAAACAGCTTCACGACGATTGGACGTGGGGGGGTTGTGGTGACAACCTGGAATACGCTTATAAGTAAGTAGTAACTTCGTTCGATCTCTTATTTTTATTCCGATTAAGTCTCTTAAACTAAATTCAGTGACATATTCACTGAACTTAGTTACAATTTTGTAGATACAAGCTTGTACCAGATGTTCTTAACGCAAAAAAAGGAAGCATTTCCGATCTTATAAATAACAATTAATCTTGATCATCATCAATACCCTGGACATAGCCATAGGCGTCGGCTTACCTATTATTTTGCACTCTAGACATATGCTTATATAAAAGGTTACACAAGTAACCTTTACTAAAATTTGTTATGAATTAGTGGACTGTATAATCTTTTAATATATTGAGCTTATTTATTTACTTATATTGAGTATTTAAGATTGTCGGTTATGTTACAAAGTGTATATGAATAGCGGGGGTTGTCTGTGATGCGGCGGTATGAACTATGCGTGCGGTTAGTTTCATCTAGAGATTTCGACTAACTTCCACTCCACAAAAGAAGTCGAGCCAAAAGAGAATTGAAAGATCAGGCGATGCGACGGTCCAATGCAAAACGGTACACATCGTTGTATGCGTGTGCAGCTGCGGGCTTTAGCTATACGTGTGAGAACATTACAGCTATGTTTTGGACACGAGCAATAACAACACAGCTATGCGCGTGAAAATAGTTACCTAAGCGGTGTAATACACTCATGAGCGTATGAATATGGCAGTTGTAATATACATAAACATTGAACTACAAAACTACGAGGCTCATTTCTCACCATACCGGCCCCCCTGAACGACTGTTCAGAACAAAGGAAGCACAGCAAGTTTGGTAATAGGTCTCTTGTAAACTCCTCGGGCTGTTTTGACGGTGACCACTCACTCGAACCCTCTCGTCTTGGCCAGGATGAACTTCGGTGATTCGCCCAAGCAGCTACTTGCTAGGCAGTTGATTCAGCTCCTTCAGTACCACAAGAGTGTCCACGGTTATGTTGTTGGACTCCTGCTGCCATTTCGTGCGAGGTTGCAAGGAAGTAAGGTGTTCCAGACTCCAACGTTTCCAGAATCCTTGAACCTTGGCTTACAGTTGTCTCCAACGCTGCAGTCTATTAATGTTGACGTCTAACAAGGACGGCTCCGGCACCGACATGTGAGGTTGACCTGCAAGAAAATGAGCGGGGGAAAGGGGATCCAAGCTGTGATCGCTGGGCGCGCACAGTGGGCGAGAGTTGAGTAAACCTTCAATCTGAGTTAAAATTGTTGAATATTCCTCGAAAGTCAATGCACTGCTACCAATTACTCGGCGAAGGTGGAGTTTGTTAGATCTTACGCCTGTCTCCCAAAGACCTCCAAAATGCGGTGCAGACGGCGGAATAAAGTTCCAGTTGATTTCCTGACTCGTCAGAAAATTAGCAATTTCCTCGTCCTGACTTTGAGATTCAGCTATCCGTTGCATCTCCGTTAGTTCCTTTCTGGCTCCATGGAATGTTGTGCCATTGTCTGAGTACAAATCGGATATGGGGCCATGTCGAAACCAAAACCGTTTGAAGGCGGCGATAAATGCAGGAGTCGTCAAATCACTGACGAGCTCGATATGAATTGCTTTGGTGGACAGACAAACAAAGATGGCAAACCAAGCTTTGCCAAACTTCGGTGTCCGACCTGCTGATGTCTTGATGGTAACTGGTCCAGCGTAATCCAATCCAGAATGTAGAAAAATACTATTGCCTCAACGTGTGGAACATAAAATCGACTCCAGCGTGTAACGATGTGACGTGCTGGTGTCTAGCTAATAAAACAGCGACTGGTGATTCCTTTGGAAGAAGTATGTGATGTTTTACATCATAGGTTGCCATCGAATTTCCAATTCGTGCTCCTACGCGCAGAATTCCTTGGTCGTCAACAAATGGAGTGTAGTGAATCAACTTGGATTTTTGAGAAAGGGCTTGTCCAGTGCTCAGCTGTTTGTACTCCACTTGGAAGAACTCCATCTGGACATGTTTGATTACCCTAGAGCGGGCATATTCAAGCTCCCATGACGATAAAAACGATGACAGGCGGTCCTTGCAACGAGGTCGATGTACAAAACGAAAGCAATGGCTAAGTGTCGGCAAGAGATGTGACCAGGAGGAAGCTTTGTTGATCATACAGTTAAGATCATTTCCTTCATTGGAAATGTGTAGATTAACTTGGGGCTTGACCTTTACTTCCATCTGCTCAGCGTCCTCAGTCGACATTGCGAACTTTGTGTTAGCAGGTGGCCAAGTGCGATGTGATTGGGAAAGCCACAGTGGTCCATTCCACCACAGTTATGTTCTACCAGATCCCTTGGTAGAAGTTCGCGTGATGCACGGCATTGTCCTCAGTGCGAATGTGTTGCCAGCAGCTACGTGGGCAAGCTTCCAGAATCCCTGCAGTGCGATTGCCAACCTAAGTGTTCCAGGTCCGTGGGGGTGATGAGAGCCAATGCAGTCCAATTTCTGAGTCGGACCAACACGATATACTGGAAATAGCAAGAGTTAGAGCTTGCGGCAATGTGGGCCCCATCGGCGGAGCACAATCCTTTCTCTGATGTTGGACGATGTACACGCCATCGTTTCTGCGGGTGTGCGTATGAACGCAGTATTTCTCAGCGTGCTCACTAGCATCGGTGGTAACGTTGCTTGGTTTAACTTGTTCCTTATCCATGATCGATTGAACTAAAGAGTCCAGATCCTCGTGAGCGTGATGTGCTAGTGCGTGGTTGTATGCATCACTACTGAGATGGTAGCTGCCTGTAATGACCCAACCAAAATTAGTATGAAGTGGAATAGGATATTCTAAGCCAAACTCTTTGCGTTGTCCAGTGTAAATGTTCCAAACCTCATCAGCTCCTAAAATCACGTCGATTTCGCCTGGTTTACCAAATGTTGGGTCCGCTAAGGGTAGATCACGAATCTCTTCCGACATTGGAGTGTTCGACTCGATCCGCTGGGCTGGAATCGAGGAGGTTAACGTGTTCAGACCTGTGTAAAGTAAAGACCTGTGACCACCACTGAGGCTGAGCTTGTGCGGGAGAGCAGCGTGAATGGTAAGCGACCTCTAGTAACCCCGGCAGGGTTTGCGCCTAGACCAACCACTGGTATATGAGCATGCGTGCGCGGCAATCCGATTTGTTGAATAAATGATTCGGCGACCACCGTTATAGTTGAACCAGTATCCAGCAATATCCTGCAGGTTGTTTCGTTGCCCCAGGAGTCTACTATAGTGGCCAAAATCGTTGGCAATATAGCGTTACCATTGGCACCGAATTCCCTCTCCAATGTATAGTGGCTGACCACGGCAGGATCAGCATCCGCAGCGAACTTGGACGAGCGGGAGGTTGAGTCAGCGGATGTATTAACAGCAGCGGAAACCGGGACAGAGCGTATATCCTCTGGATGGACAAGAGTGTGGTGCCTCAACTTACACAGACAGCACGTGTTTCTGTAATTACACTCCTTGACTTGATGAGATCGGCTTAGACAATTGAAGCACAAATTACCATCCCTTGCGAACTTGCGGCGGTCCGCAAAATCCAGAGCCTTGAATTGTGTACACGCATACAGACTGTGTTGCTCGTGACAATATACACAATCACGAGCAGGCGTATTTGGCACGTCAACATGATGAGACATTGCACGACGTTTATTCAGCACCGTGTGTGTATTCTGGAGTAGCTTTGGAACTTGACAAGACTCAAGTGCATCGCAACGGGCGAAGACAAAGCCGAACAGGTCATTTATAGTCACATTTTCCTTGCACGATTCACTGGAGGTGGCCCAAGCTTCCTTGCATTCAGGGTCTAGCTTTGAGAGCAAGATATGGATCAGCCACACATCGCGGCTGTCGCAGCGCAGCGCATGTAGGCCACGTATACTTTCGTCGGCGGTGTCGACTATTTTACGCAACTCGGCAATGATTGAACCCTTTGCGGTTGACAACCAAAGAAAGTTTTGAATGAACGAACGAGCAATCAGTGACTTTTTGTTATAGCGATAATTGGCATCCGATATGGGAATATGTTTTATCAGAGACAACGCTTCACCATCCAGATAGGATTTCAAATAATGAAACTTTTGGCACTTGGACAGACTACTCTTCATGTCGATTGAGCCTAAGAACAAGTCACTAAACTGATACCAATCCTCATATCTGCCCGAAAACGTTCGAATGCGTATTTTCTCGAACTGCAGCTCTGTGGTTCCCGATGAGTCCCGAATCCTCTCCAGAAGTTGAGTTTGTCCCTCAAATAAGCGTTCCACAGTGTTCGATAGCAGTAGATTTGAGTTGTCGTGCTCATTATGGTATGGCTTCAGTGAAAATACTATGCGCACTAAAGAACCGTTTCTCATATTCGGGGATATCCAAATCTGGATCCACGTATTCATCTTCATCATCATATTGGACCAGCTCTTCAGAGAGCTCCATAAAGCGGTTGAAAGTTGCCACCAGTCGGTCCAACTTGTGCTCTAAAGTTTGCACAGAAGTACATGACTGTACAAACTCTTGAGCCTCCGTAGCCACGCGAGTTAGTTGGGATTTGCAGGCACCACGTTGCTGAATTAGACGATGCACTAGAGCCTTCATGGCGAACAGCGGTCAACGATATCACTCAATATGTATATAAAATAAACTCAAACGCGGAAATCCGGCGTATAATCTTTTAATATGATGCGGCGGTATGAACTATGCGTGCGGTTAGTTTCATCTAAAGATTTCGACTAACTTCCACGGTCTTCGACGGTCCAATGCAAAACGGTACACATCGTTGTATGCGTGTGCAGCTGCGGGCTTTAGCTATACGTGTGAGAACATTACAGCTATGTTTTGGACACGAGCAATAACAACACAGCTATGCGCGTAAAAATAGTTACCTAAGCGGTGTAATACACTCATGAGCGTATGAATAGGGCAGTTGTAATATACATGAACATTGAACTACAAAACTACGAGGCTCATTTCTCACCAATAATATTCCTATTTTTGTGAAAACCAGATAATTTTTTTCTTTAATTAAT